GGGGGGTGTAATTAAAGCGCAGTTCTGATTCGCTTTCTGGACGCAAGTCAAAACCAGAGCTGCTCATGACTCATCAGACAAGAGTCTTGTGGTTCAAATAGTAACAGAGTCTGGACTCCAAAGAAAATAAAGCGTCGCGCATAAAAATTACCATAGAGTGTCTTTTGGAAAAGTTTCTCCTCTCCTTCTATCCAACCTCGTCTCCAGCAGCATCTGTACCGAGTTCTCTTCCATTATAAACGATGTGGGTTTTTTTTCCCCATGTAGCTTTGGGGAAACAAAAGGAAAGAACACAGGAAGAAGTAAAACGCGTGCGGCCTAATAAACGGACATAAAAGACAAGAAGCAATGAAGGATGCACAAAGCTCAGCCACACAGAGGAAACGGGTTAAGTCAAATAAGTGTATAAAAGGCTACTGTGTCAAAGTATGTAAAAATAAACACTGTATTTTAAAGCACTGTTTTTTATATTAACACAACAATAATGCCATTGGGTAAATAGCTCACACCACTGCCATAAAAAGTATGTTTTCTTATGTTGTTGATGCTATTTTTTTTTTTCTGCTTGAATAAGTGCATGCTTCAATATATGGAGATAAAAACAAAAACCTTGTGGTACTTAACTTATCTCGTTTCTTCTTTCTGTTGTACGTTTTGCAGTGTAATGCAAGCCCTAAAGCTCAGTTTATCCAAACTTTGTGGTGCTGGGGGGGTTGGGGGGTAATGGGAAGGAACTGCTGGGAAGAAAATGGCAGTGTTGTTTATTCTTTGATCCGAGGGAGAAAGGAGTGATCGAGCTGAGGTGGGGGGGTGCAGAGCTAGTGTAGAACTGGACGAGGATCACTGCAAAGGGACACTGGCCTAAAGGCTTCTCCCCCCTCCTCTTGTTTTGTGTTCAGCACACTCCCCGGCATCTATCCATTTCCAACATCTACTGCCACTCAGACCTGAATCCATCCTCCTCCAACCATCATAGACCTCTTCTTTTAAATTTCGCTTCCCCTTTCTCCTGCGCTGTACAGAGGCGATGTCTTTGATGTTCTGTTTTGAGGGACTCTGGGAGTGATGTGCGGGCTGAGGAGGGGGCAGGGGCTGCGGGTCAGGCTGACCCCAGTCTCATATCAGCAACGCACCAACGGCTCAACTGTCTGATCTGAGCAATTGTCAACAGCTGAGATGCTTAAAGGTACTCATCGCAATGTCATGAGGACAGGTCGAAACAAAAACTCATTAAGTAAGAAACCACATTCTAACTACTGTTTTTATCTCACAGATGGCTTATGTGGCCTTACATTAAGAAATCGTGAGCATAATTTGTGAATGGCTGCCACCTCCACATGTGTATGTTTACATTTAAAAACAGCTGGAGTGACTGAAAATAGGTCAAGAGTGTTGACGTCCATGGAAAAGATGTTAGGGATGGAGACGTTTAACATCGTTGATGTGTTGGTGTACGCATTTACAATCAGATTTGTTGAAGTATGTATAAAGATAAGGTGATATCATAAACTTGCTGATCTAGCAGAAGTTTTACAAAAGCTATGCGTGTTTGAATGACGGGTTCTGTCTTTACAGTGCTCCACCGCCCGCTTGAACCCAACATTTATCTGTGATATCTTTCTTACACTCCTTTCTTTCTCGTTTAGCAGCAGATTCACACCAAAACATCAAATTTTCATGTTTGTCCGATCCCACCATGCTACAGCGAGCCTAGTGTAGGTCAATGTGGCTCAAGCTTCGAGGTGGAGGATTCAGCTGAGCACTTTGTTTACGTTGACTGTGTACCCTCATTTCAGAAATGCATAAAAACAATTACGAGTAAAGGCTTTCAAACTGCACCTTTTTTTATTTTGAGTTTGCAATGGGTAACTTTAACAAGCGCTGATCACTTAAAATGAGCAAGTATGCTCCTTTTAATGAAAATATAAAGTGAAGGCTGTCACCTAATATGTTCTATTTTATCCTGAGAAAATGCACTGATCTAATTTGTTTTGCTGAACAATTATATTCACTGACAGAGACAAAGGTTCATTGCACAAACAGTATGATGATGGTGTAAATGTGTAAAATTCTCAGTTGCTGTTCTGATGTTGTTCCAATGTAACATACAGTATACATTATATTTGATGGGAAAAAAGGAGATGGTTATCACAGACACATTGTACTTGTGGATGAAAAAAATGTGTCATGCTTTTCATGCAGATAAAGATACTGTTTGTAAAAAGAAAATGTCCTAAAATATAAATATGGGCCAGTACTGCTGTGACAGCTGTAGCCAATATTGTATGTTCCTCAAGCACAGATTTTAGTTCATAAAAGAATAAATATATTATAGTGTGACAGTGCAGATATGCAAAAGATTGTAATGTTTTATATTACCCTTCATAAAATATGAAAGTGAGTTTTTACTTTTCTAATAAAGTGGCACATTATAACATGTTTCTATTGCCTGCGGTCTTTTACTTTGGAAAGAGTATCAAACTAAACACTTCCTGCTTTGCATTGCTCTCATTATTCCAACTTGCAATAAAATGTTTTTTTTTTTGGTACAATTACGCATATTAATTAATGCAGAAATCAGGGTTTGGGTTCTGTACTCATTATTTAGAAATTCAACATTTCCAAATCCACTAAGCATCATGTATGCTTAAAATAAATAAAGCAGAGATGGGCAACATTTTTTTTTCCAAAGGGCCACATCAGTATGTTTAAAGTAATCAAAGGGCTGAATATAGAACTGAAAGATTTCTTGATTACAGAGAAGACCTTTTTCAGGCTTTGTCTTATTGTAGCATAGTTAGCATGCTTTATAAAATGTGTCTTGCCTTTAGGAATATAAAACATTCTGTAATCTGGCTCTTGTGTCAATATATGTAAGCTTAACATGTTATACATGTTAGTGGAAATATGCAAAAGAACTTATATTTTTGTGTTTCTAAGTCTTTAAACTTCAGCCTAGTTCTGGAAACAATGACTTAAAATTATTATTTTTTTAAGTTTTGCGTAAGATGTTAAATTTAGATGTTCAGAAGCTCTTTGATAAATACATTTTTTTTTTTTTTTTTTTAACTAAGGATATTGGGAACCTGATGGAGATATTCCAAGGGCCACTTTTGGCCCTCTGGCCTTAAATTGCCCAATCTGCTTTAAAATCTGTTAAAAAATACTGCCTGGAACTAGTAAATATATCGTCTTAAAATAATATATTAGTTTATATCTTACAATCTAACCAACCCTTACACTACAAAAACTTTAGTTGGACGTACTTGATTGAGTTTAAACTTTTAGGAAGAAAACATCTGATCATTTGCTCTATAATCGCTCGCTTATAAAATTTAGTTCATGCATTGTAAATCGTAATCCGCTTTGTCACAGGTTGAATTTCATAAATTGTAAATGCGCAATCTTTTGCTGAGGGCTGTCCCCCGCCCCCCTCCCCCCCACTGCCTTGCAGACCCGGCTCTTCGCAACGCACACCGGCCGGTGAACCGCTGGTTACACCCCCTCTTCTCTTCCTCCCACACGGCTTGGATCAAGAAAAAAACGTGATTGACGCGCTCGAATCAGCCAATCACAAGCCGTCTTGGCGTGGACGCGTGCCAAAGTGTAATGTTTATGTATTCAGCGGACCAATAGGAGCGCAGCAGAGGGGGCGTGGCATCCGTTTGGAGAAAAGAGGCAAAACAATCTTTTATCTTCCGAACCGGGCGGCTTTTTGGATATACTGGGTGGCGGTAGTGGAAAACTTTTCCATGTAGACTAGCAAAGAGGTTAACACAGAGACAAGCTTTATCAAACTGCGACAATCCTGATAAATGTATCAAACTCCTTCAACTTGCACTAAAATCTACCGAGAGCCGATTTTCCTGCTTTAGCCTCCACGCGCCCTGACTGAATATGGAGTCCAAATATATTTTCGAGAAGTCGTCGGTCGGGACAAGCGTCGGCGTGGCGGATTTCAACTACCGGACAGGCCGCTCGGTGCTCTTCGACAGCCGGGTCCCTGTTGTGGTGGAGAAAAACGGCTCCGTGTTGCCGGCGTACACGCAGGGGCCCGTTTTTTACAAATTCGTAATGGACGGCGGCTCGACGGCGGAGGTTAAAAGCGAGCGAACTTCGTCCAGCAGCAAGGGTCGAATATTGCCGGACTTGGAGAAAGTGAGTGCAAAAAGTGGGCTTACTTTACAAGCTGCCAAAGTCACACGCACATTCGAGTAACCGCACTGAAAATATCGAGTGAAACTTGTCACGACCCCGCCGTGTTTTGACAGGCTACAGCCGCCTGCAGTTAACGGTCACAAACAGCGCGCGACATTTTGAGCTGTGCTCGTGCTAACGTCGGCTAATGAGGGACAAGTTGACTTTACTGAGGCGTGAATTTGACCAACTACCGTAAAGCCTTTACGGTGCATTATTACCGCTTTAAATGGCGGCTCAGTCTGAGTGTAAAGTTTACAGAAAAAAGGGGGGCAGGGACTCTAAGCTGCCCCCCTCCCCCGTAGCTTCAGGGTGGAGCTTCGACGTGGGCTTCCTGGCTCCTCTGAGCTGCGTGCACGTAAAACCACGAAAATCTGACCCGTTTTTCTGCCTCTTACCTTTAAAGCATTTTTTTTTTTGCAAATATAAGTGCATACAGGTTTGTGTAATTTAAATATGAAATTATGGTTTTTGTATGAATTAATTGGTCGTAGAAGTCAAACCATAACTATTTTTTAAATGAGTCAATTGGATTTATTACAGTGGTGCTGTCTTATACACCTGAGGTATAGTTATTGTAGGAGGGGGTGGAGAGGCATGGGTGGTGGCAAGGGAATTACTGGAGGAAAATTAAGTTTAATCTGTATTGTCCATAGATGATGTTGTGCTGATCCATTTAATTTTTGCAGAAACTTCACTCTGTTGCTCGCATTTATTCCTTAGCCAATAGTTGTTAATGATTGATAACAAAAATGTGTTGTTTTTTTTGGGTGGAGTGAACTTTTTATGACTTCTGTTGGGGGTGGGGAAGGAGAGAGAGGAAAGTTTTCAAAACCCATGTTCACATTAAGAAGCTGTTTTAAAATATAAATCTAAACTTCATTTTTTTTTCTGTTTTTGCGTTTTCCACCCTGCACAAATGAAATGCATATGTTTTGTTTTACATACAAACAGCAACTACTTCTCGTTATATACAACATTAAATATTAGCTTTTGTACTGTGTAGTACTTATTGTAGTATTTATACAAATTAAACATTAATTTGTATCGTTTCAGAACGTAGTTCAGATGACAAAGATATGCAGCATGACATAGTTAAAAAAGAAATATGATTTGTATCGTGACTAATACAGTGTCAAGGTAGTCATTGCAAACTATAAAATCAAACATAATAAGTTATTCTGAGCCAGATCAAATAGTGCAGATTGAAAGAGTTTACTCCAGTAGGTTTTCAGATATATTGATAAGCAATATTGAAAGTCGGGCACACACTCAATGTCAACAAAGCAATTGGGTGAACCACCAAAAACCATGTGGAAGTTTACGTTATGCGCACCCTAGACGGCAGCTCTCTGCTCCACACAGAGGGCTGTGGTAGCTCGGTGGTCTGTGGTGTCAGGAAGAGCATCCAGCATCAAAACAATTGCCAGGTCTTCAGGCGAGTTAGTTCACTGTGGTGACCCCTGAAGAAGGGATTAGCCGAAAGAAAAAATGTCTGCAGTCTGTCTGTAAACCAACATGGTGGAATCAGACAAGTGTAGAATCAAGAACGTGGCTTTTAGTTGGAACCATAAAATTTAATCTGCTGTTAAATTATGGGAAACAACAACAAATTTCAGTCTGGAATATCTAAGGAGTGATATTTTGTCTCATGGGTTATATATTCCAGAAAATAACAGTCAACTACACACTGTTTCCAAGTCCTTTTCAGTGTACCGGTAGTTAAAAAGGTATCTGCATACTACAGGTATACTTACCATAATATCAACACTGTTAGACCTCTCGATCCCAATTTTCAATCACTTCCATTCTTTCAATAGGTAAACAAATGCATGTGGTAGTTGACAGCTGTTTACCAATTTTACTGGCAAACTTGGTAAACAGCTGCCAAAAATAGGGATGCATAAAGTACATGTATATTTAATTAATTAATTTAATGTTTAGTATATTTAATTTCCCTCTGGGATTAATAAAGTATATATTTTTTTTGAATGTTAAGCATTGCTATGCAAAAGGATTTGTGCGTATTGTGTTTGTTACTTTATTTTGTTTGTGCTGGTCTTCTTGAAACTACACTGAGATTTTTTTTCAACCAAGAACACCTGAGATGCCACTAACCTATTATAAACTTACAACATTTAGCCTTTGCTACAATAAACTGACTTAAGCATGCTTTATTTTGTAATACAGGCTGGCCTCGGGGACCAAAAAGACACTGGTTCCTCTGGGATTCTAAAGAGGACCAGTCCTACTCCGTGTCCTGGTGTAACCAGGTCGTTGCCAGGCAGCTTCTTGAATTTGGACATCAGAAACCCAGGGAAACAGGCAGAGCTGGCCAGCAGCTTCAGGGCAGCACAAGGACAGAATGTACCACAGGCAGAGAGACAACCCCTCTCCTCCCACATCCCTGTCCCCAGAAACAGGTATGGAGGCTGATGCGGTCATGAACTCTTTTTATCTTTGGTCAGTTGTTATTTATTTATTTATTCTTGATCCGGGGTGTTGAAGTTAAAGAAGAAAAAAAAATCTGTGCACAATTTAGAAGTTTCATGTGACTGAAGTAACGGAATTTGTTTTGCATCTTGCCGTAAACTTTTCAGGACGCGTGTAATCAGTCCATAAGATTCTGGACCGCACTGTTAATTTTCAGAGCCATTTTTTGACGTGTTTGGTTCTTGTGTTCATTAAGTTTCAGCCAGAGGCTAATTTGGCAGTGTTGTTGTCATAAAAGCAATGAGTGTTGGCAGTTTTCATACTCCGCTGTGACTTGTGTTCCTTAAATCTTTGTCTTGAAGTTAAATGCTGCATCTGGCTACAAACCGAACTGTGGTTTTTGATATGAATAGTGTGGAGGCATACTGGTTAACTGACCACATGTTTGGTGCTCCATCCAGAACAGTTTCAGAATGCTATGCCTTTTTGGAGACCCAGAGTTTTGCAGCGAGGGCCAGGATTGCTCAATCACTTGACCGAAGCAAGAAGGGCTGGAATGTTTTATACATGTATGCTTTACTGTTAAGTCAAACTGCGTTTGGGAAAGTTTTCATTTGTCCGAAGTGTCCCTGTAGCTGAATGTTTTAAAGTACACTTCTCTGTTGACCCACTTTTGAAAGGTGAGGCTTGTTGATGTATTATGTGCTGACTGCATGTCGGGCAGGAAGATAAACTTTCGTCGTATCCGAGTGGATTTTGTTTGCAGTGCAGTCAAAGCTGTTTTACACAGTTTTCTGACACAGTCGTATCCATGTCAGAATAAACTGTGCACACAAAGACTGTTTCCCACAGAGCAAGCAGAACATGCATCCAGGGACAAGTCTAAAGCACTAAGTGATTATATAATGTTAAAGAGCACTGGGAGTGGTTGGAGGTGTTGCCTAAGAACTATTAACCTCTTTTTCACTCAGTCATTGGTTACTGTGTCAAGTCACTGCCCGTTTCTCAAATGATGCTTATCTAAATCTAAAACCTTAGCAGCTTGATTATTCTTTATACAGCCCTATTCTCATTTTTATAATTCCTAGGTTTTTAAATTGGACTATAAATTCAATGAAATCCAACTAATCAGGTTCCAGCTCCACACAGTGATCTTTGATAATGTAGGGTGTGAATGGTTTACATGTTTAAACACCTCGCTCCTTCACTTTCTTCTCTCATTTCACATTCTGTCAGTCATGAATGTTGTGGGTAAAAGTCTGGAGAGCTCGCAAGATTGAGCACACTCAGACATCAGAAGGATTTTATTTCTTGAATCATTGTGGCTACTGTGGAGAAAAAAACAACAGCTATTTTTGTCTCGGTCCGCATGTAAACCAGATCAAAACTTTTTTTTTCATCACATTGATTGTTATCTCAAAACACTGCAAACACAGCAACACGTTCCAAGTTGACAGACAGGATATAGGATTGAAAAACATTATTCATCTTATCACTGTTAATATTAATGATACTTTTGTTCCCCCGTGACCTTTAATTTACCTCTCTGTCTAGATTCTGTTTGGATTTGCAGTTTACAGCTGGTGAAAAGGCACTCCCTCGTTTAACAATAAAACAATGTTTTACCCATGATTCACTTTTTTGGTTCGCAACAAGGCACCTTGGGAACAGGTAAAAAAAAAATCCCTTATGCTACATCTAATCATAACTGGTTAAACTTGGTTTCTTATAAATAGACTGGTTGTTTGCTTTGTTAATCAAACAAAAAACAACACTGTGAAAACTTACTAGGATCTTTAGGCACTTAGGATAATTATTTCTGTAATTTACTAAACGTAAAACCCAGAAATGGAAACAGTGAGTTACAATAACTCATGCTGGACTTGTTAGAACATGCAGACTTTTGCTTTTAAAAGTGACTTAAAGACCTTTAAAACATTTTTTTCAGTTTCACAAATGAATGATTTATTTAGACATTTTCTTGCAGCTTCAGCTGATTTTTTTTTTTCCTTTTTCACTACTTTGGGATAACCAGTAATATTTTCTGAATGTTGCCACATAAAACAAGTGTTTTGATAAATCTGGCTTTGATTCACTTGCCTTTGATGGTTTCACCAAATAAAAGTTGCACTGCAGTTGGGGGGGGACTCTCTTTTTCTTTAATCACATGTCAAACTGGGGACCATGTGGTAAATATCTCATTGTTGCATCTGTGGGTGTGTGACCTTCACTGCATTTGTTGTGCACTGTACCCTGCTTTAGGTAATGTCAACAAAACCATTTATTTTCATTTGCTCCCCACCAGCTTAAGTAATTCCATCAGTGTGCCACAAGACTGCATGTTTTAAGAGAGACATTTTGGTATAAAGATGTTTCTTAGACCTTTGCATGCTTTATATTTGTTGCATTGTCTGTTGCACTTGTGTAAATTTCTCTGCGAAAGCTGTTAAGTTGTAACAAGTTTGGACAAAGATCTTGCAGTCTTTCAGAGGGAGAACCAATAAACTTACATATGTGCATATTCATTTAAAACAAAGTCAAAGGTACATAGTTCTGTTTTAAAACTGCTCGTTTTATCAACTGAACCTCTATGGGTGTCGTCCCGTTTTCTATGTTCTGACTGATTAAGTGTCTCGTTTGCCCACACCCTCAAAGCTGTTCGATCTGTCAATACTCATCAGTGTCCAGGGCACTGATAACCGAACAAAGACTCGCTAGAACGAGCAATAAAAGAGAGAGAGAGGAAAAAAAAAAGACTAAATGAAGAGGGGAAGGGTCGTTTTATTTGGATTTGAGAAGCTTGTTTTCTTTATCTTTTCTTGGGCAGGTGCACTGTCACCATAGTTGGCTAACATGAATAGAAAATGCTGAGTCCGCATAAACAAGACACCAAAGCAGCCAACTACAGCCAGGGGGGAAGGGATTGTGGTGGAGGGAGAAAGAGTTTTTTTTTTCTTCTTATATTTGCTGACATGCTTTTGACTCAGCCTGTGTAGTAGTCAATAGTGCAACTTGGACCAAGAAAGCATACAGGAGGGAGTAATGTCCATCACCTTTCAAACCCCCCCCCC